TGCCACGACAACCGTAAAGTCCGGCGCCAAGGTTTCGGTAGGCCTGGCTGACTTCGAACCTAGACTGCAGATCCCCGCGCCGTGGAGGCCCAGCAGCACTGTAACCATGAGCCTGGGAACGGCCTCTGAGACAGTAAGATGCTGTGACCTCCCTCGCGCTCCAGGGGCACGGGCACGGGCGGCGGGAGGCCGGGAAGCGGCTACGGCGGCCCGATTGTTACCGCACAAGGCTGTCAGCCGCCGTCGACCCCCGGCCTCCAGCTCCCGCCTGCGCTCTCGAGCCCACCGCTTCCTGGGAGCCCTCCAGGACTGCTACTCCCGCGAACCTGCCGCCGCGACTGGTCGGTGAGGAGCGAGGCCTACTGCTTGCTGTCGAGGGCCTCTCGGAGGCGGGGTTCCGCTCTGCCCCCTACCCTTGCCGTGGGCGGACAGCGGGGCGCGAGTCTCCATGGAGCGAAGGCCTCCTGTGTGAAGGAGCCTGAAGGAGAACTAGCTGCGTTCCAGTGGGGGAGGGCGAATTAACAGGCGGTTAATAAGGTCTCGGCAGAGAGTGGAATGTGACCCAGGAGAGCTGCTGTAGATGTGGGGCCCGGACACCCTCTTTGTGGTGTTGCTCTTGTTCGTGCCTCACAAATACTGAAGGCTACAGCTGGGAAAGGCCTGGAGTATGAGAGCAGCGGTGCAAAGGCTTTGGGGTGGAACAGTGTAGCATGTTCCAGTGATTGTTGGCATCAGGCTGGGTGAGGAGAGTGAATGGAAGGTGAGCATAGGCTTGGTGGTGGTGGAGCGCCTTGAGTTTATTTTTTCTTGGGGGTGCAAGAGAAGCCAATGGAAGGTTCCATAACTGCCGCAGGACTCAAAGGGCTGTGGGGAGCCCACCCAGGGTGGGTCCCTGTCCTGCTGGCCAACGTGGAGCAGCTGCAGTCCATACTTCTCCCACAAGGCACCCCTTTCCCATCTCTTCCCCAGGACCTGCCTGTCTATACCCGCCCTGAGTTACTGTCCCTTCACCCACTTTCCCTTCTCCCCCACCAAATCCAGGGCCTCGTGCTAGCTAGGCAAATGAGCCACACCAGCCCTCCTTCTACTTTAAGAAAAGCACTGCTTCTGTTCTGATTGTGAAAGTAATCCATGCCTGTTATAGGAAATTTGAAAAACTATCCAGAATCTGGCTACCTACAGAAAATCAGCTAACATTTGTTGTCTTTTCTTCTAATATTTTTCAGTACATCTTTTCCCTGTACATTTTAAAAAACTGAGATCATGTTTATGTTGTCTTGTGAACTTTGCCATTTACTTTTATGTTAGCACTTTCCATATATTTTTAAAGACATTTCAAAAATTCTAACCCTATTTTATTTATCCTTTTTCCTGTTTTTATTCTGAGTTTTTTTCCTGTTAGAAACAATGTTGCTATAAAATTGTGTATATATACTATACATGTCAGGCCCTGTCCTAGTTTCTGAGGACACAAAAACTAGGACCTGGTGCCCCCCTGGTGCCTCTAGGGATTCAGTCCCATCCAAGACTCAGCCTCTGCCCAGGCTGCCTGGCTTGTGGGTCTTTAGCTGAACTTGGCTGTGTTTCCCTAAACCTGAAAGAACTTCTTGAAGGGAAGAGGCTTCCAAGTCCATCTGTTTCCCAACCCTTGGAGCAGAGTATCTCTGGGCATGCTTGTGAGGCTTTAGGAGCCCCTCCTGAGGCCTGGCTAGGCCTGGTTCCAAAGAGCCCCTGGACTGCATGCACTCCAGGAGGGAGTGGCACAGGGAGGATCACAAATGGTTTGAGAGACACACTTGCTTGTGAAGGGGGTCATGGTGCCCAGGAGAGATGAGCAGCGCACTGGTGAGTTTTCATGTCTGTCTGACTCTGTGACATCAGCTGTGCTCCCTGGACCTCCCCCTGGCTGAGACCTAATCTCACACCATGAGGCATGAGAGGTCTTGGCACCTGCCATCCAACAAGGAGGCTGGCACAGGTCCTGTCCCCCTGGAGTTTGGGCAGATCCTTGGCCCCAAACCATGCCCAAAGACCCTGTGAACCGTGAGCAACATCAGCTGTCTGTGTTTTTCCTTTCAGAAACTCCAGCAGGTAGAGTTCTCAGAACTTGAGGACTGGGGGATGTGTGGGGACCAAGCAGGCAGGCCTGTAGGGTTTGGCCTCCCAGGAAATCGTTAGGTTACCACTCTCCTCTGCAGATGAAAGAGTACTGTTCATCCCTCTCCCACCTACATGAAATTGAGATTTTCAAATTCACCTATAACTGTCTTCCACTGAGCATGGTGGTGGATGCCTGTAATCCCAGCACTTGGGAGGCTGAGACGGGAGGATTGCTGTGAGTTCGAGACCAGCCTGGGCTATATAGTGAGTTCCAGGTCAGTCTCAACTACATAGTGAGACCCTGTCTCATAAAACAAAAACAAAACTGTCAGTCTTCCATTTCATGCACAAACTGTATTTGTTTATTCCAGTTTTAGTATATGTGCTGCTGAAGCAAGCACTATATTTATTACTGCTCTGAGCAATGGCTGTTTGGCAGCCGTTTCATTTTTTTTGGCAGCAACTTTTCACATTTTCTTTTAGCATGTGAGCCTTTAATTCACTGGACATTATTTTGGTATCAGGTGAAAGGTATGCATCCAACGATTTCCCCCCGACAGCCAGCCAGTTATCTTAACTTCATGTGGGATAACTCATTCTTTGCCTTTGAAAAATTTTTTTCCTGGGATTGGAATCCAGGGCCTCATACATTCTGGCCAGGTGCTCTTATCACTGAGCTACATTCCCAGGTATAAAACATCTTATTAAAATATGACTCTCATGCTATAAAATTGACTCATTTAAAGTGTACAGCTCAATAGATTTAGTATAATCAGAACACTTTTCATATAGTAGTCATTTGTATATCTTTGGAGAAATATATATTCAGAATTTTTGCCCTTTTTAAAAATTGGGTTGAGGGCTAGGGATGTAGCTCAGTGATAGAACACTTGCTTAGCAAGTGCAGGATCTGGGTTCACTCCCTAGCACAGAAAAAAATTGGATTTTCTTTTTATTATTGAGTTGTAATTATGAGTTCTTTATATATTCTGCATAGTAATCTGTTACCAGATATGTCAGTTGCAAATAATTTCTGCCATTCTGTGTCTTGTCTTTTACTTTCTTGCTGACCTCATGACTTAGTTGCTTTCTCATTATTGTGACAAAATACCAACATCTACAAGTTAAAGGAGAAGCGGTTTATTTCAGCTCATAGTTTGTAGAGGTTTCAGTCCATAGTCAGCTGGCTCCAAGGCAGGGTGGCACGGCAGAGGAGAAAGAGCTCATGATAAAGCAAGCAGAAAGCAGTGAGACTTCCTTCTTTCCCTTTTTATTCATTTCAGGCTGCAAGCCTATCGGCTGGTGCCATCCACACCTAGGGCGGATTTCCCCTCTTCAGTAAATCTGTCATCCACACTCAGTAAACCTATCACTGGGCTAATCCAGTATCACACCCATGATCTAATCACTCCCAGAAGCTCCACCTATGAGTACATGAGGCTTTGGGGGACATCTAGATATAAGTCATTACACCTCATTTATTAGTTTTTGTGTTTTTTGTATTAAACTGGTACTCTTTATAGAAAAGAAAGTTCTTAATTATAATACAGCTTTGATACAGTTTAGTTTACCTAATTTTTTCTTTCATTCTTTTATTTTTTCTCATTTATTTATTTTTGAGATAGGGTCCCACCATGTAGTTCAGGCTAGCCTCATTCACTTATGTGGCCTAGGCTGACCTTGAATTTGCAGCAGTCCTCCTACCTCAGCTTCAGTAATTCCCACTGGAATTACAGGGATGCACTACCATACCCAGCTTCTTTTTTTTTTTTTTCTTTCTTGGTACTGGGGATCAAACTCGGGTTCTTACGCTTGGAGGGCAGATGACAGAACCACTGAGCTAAATCCCTGGCCCTATACCCAGCTTCTTTCACTCTTTTAGAGTTATAGTGATACCTCAATTCACGAACTTAATTCTAGAATCATGGAAAGAATTAAGCTCATGAACCAAAGCACCACTGTACATACAAGAAACCATTCCCTGATACCAAGTTCATAGAAATTTCTATGTTTTCTGCTAAGAGTTTTATGGTTTTAGGTCTTACATTTAGTCTGTGGTGCATTTTGAGTTATTTCTCTTGTGTATATTATCAGGGAGAGGTTCTTTTGCATGTGAATGTCCACTAGTCTCAGCACTGATTATCCCAGCACTACTCTTGTTTCTCCTAATGCATAGTCTTGGCACCCTTTTCAAAAGCTAGTAGATCATAAATGTAAGGATTTTATTTCTAGGGCCAGGGATTTAGCCCAGTGGTTCTGCTGCCTGCCTCACAAGCGCAAGGTCCCAAGTTCAAGTTTTTTTTTTGTACCGGGGATTGAAAACTCAGGACCTTGTGCTTGCCAGGCAGATGCTGTGCCACTGAGCTAAATCCCCAGTGTATATGATTACTCATGTGATATGTGCTATACAGAAGTGCAAGTGCTACGAGATCAGTTTTTTGTTTATTTGTTTGATTTTTGGTACTGTGGATTGAACTTGCACTTGCAAGGCAACACGTGGTGCCACTAGGCTAAATTCCTGGCCCTACAGCTTCTGAGATAATGATGAGTTTTTAGTCAAGATAGTGTTTTACACTGATTTTGGTGTGTTAAACCAACCTTCCATTCATTTGTGAGATAAATCATTCATGGTCATAGTATACTATCCCCTCCTTGGTATAATCCTTTTTATATGTTGCCAGATTCCATTTGCCTAGTATTTTGTTGAGGGATATATGTATGTATTCAAAAAGAACCTGATCTGTAGTTTTCTTTTCTTGCAGTATCTTTATCTGGTCTGGTGGCAGAGTAATGCTGGCTTCATGTAGTGATTTGGAAGGTTTCGCTACTTTTCTAATTTGTGGAAGAATTCATGAAGGATTAGTGTCAATTTACCTTTAAGTATTTGGTGGCATTCACTGGTAGGATCATGTAGCTCTGGGCTTTTTCTGAACTTTTTTTTTTTTTAACCAGGGATTGAACTCAGAGCCTTGGGCTTACAAGGCAGGCAGTGGCACCACTGAGCTAAATCCCCAACCCCTCTTATTCCATATTTTGATAATTTAGTGTCTTAACTCTTGATCAATCTTGATAAATGTTTGTCAATTTTGTTGATCTTTTCAAAGAACCTCTTTTGGTTCTATTGATTTTTTTCTAGCTCATGTAGTCTCTAACCTTTATTAATTATTTCCTGTACCTGCTGTAAGTTTACTTTTCTCTTTTTGCTTTCTGAAGGTGAAAAGTTATTCACCTGAGATCTTTTCTGGGTAGGTGTTTGTAACAACAAATGGTCCCTCTGGACATATCTTTCATCCTGAGGTAGGAGATGAGATTATTGACCTGACATGACTTCTTAAACGTGGACATTTACAGATATGTGTTTCCCTTTGGGCCCTGCTTTTCACCTGAGTATTTTCTAACTTACCCCCTTGGTTGTATAGGAACGTGTTGTTTAATTCTGATATTTTTGAATTTATAATTTTTTCTCATGTCAATTTCTCCTTTCTGTTGTGGTTAGAGAATGTACATTGGCATGATTTCTTACTTTGAGACAGGGTCTTGTTAAGTCCCTAAGTTGTCCGGGATTAGCTCAAATTTGGGATCTTCCTGCCTTAACCTCCCAGAATGCTGGTGATAAGTGCTATGCAATAAGACAGGCCCTTGCCTTGCCTCCATTTTTTCCCACAGAATGTTTTGTTTTGGAAATTAAGTTTGTGTTGCTGGGCTCCTGCCCATGGTATCAAAATGGTTTGTGAGTGTTTGAACTGTGTGACCTTTCAGGAAGGTTCTGTTAAGCTCTGCCTCCTCACAAAAGAAGGTTCTATTAAGCTCTGAAGGTTCTGTTAAACTCCTCCCCTTTACTTCAGGAATGTTCTGTAACTCCGCCCCCCCTTCATTGAGCATGCTCACATAGCATGTGTTTCAGGAATGTTCTGTAACTCCACCCCTTTACTTCAGGAATGTTCTGTAACTCTGCCTTCCTCCTTCATTGAGCATGCTCACTTACTCTATAGATCCCTATGTAAGGAGGCTCTCCTTTCTGGTAGAGTGCTCAGACCCCGCTGAGCCCTGTGTAATAAAGATTTTTTCTACCTCTTCTACTGACCATTGGATTCTTGAGTCTTCAAAGTATGGGAGCTGTGACTCAGAGCTGCCACACTGAGCTGTAAAGCTCAGCTGTGGCTCAGAGCTGTCGCACTTGGCTGTAACACTGAGCCATAACACTTGGCTATAGCACTGAGCTGCTCTACTCTGCCACAACACTGGAATTACAGGTTTTGCCACAAGACCTGGCTTTGCCTTGGTGCTTTTGTAATTTCCATTGTTAATGGTCCCTATGTTAACTCACCAAGTTGACACACTGTCATTTAATTAGTTAAGCACTACCTTTGTGGCTCTCTGAACACCTTGATGTGGCTACTCTTTCTTCTTGCCTGCACCTTCTGTCATAGCAGTTGTGGTTCCAAATAAAAGTCTTGTCTAACTGTCAGCACCACATTGTAAATCACTATTCTGAACGAAGTTTTAAACATATTTTGCTGTCTGTCTTTTTAGGACTTCAACCTTAGTTAACACAGACACCTTCTTCTCTTTGGGAAGTACCTACCCTTCCAGGGCCTAGGGTCTGGCCCTGGTGTTAGATGGTGAGGCTTTCCTTGTACCCCCCTTGGTCAGGGCACATTCACTGCCATTAAGAAGACAGGAAGCTTTGTAAGCCCACTGTCTCCTCATAGAATAACGTATGTGCTAATTAGGATTTGTTTTTTTTTTTTTTTTTTCTCTTTTTTTTTTTTTTTTTTTTTTTTTTTTTGGTTTTTTAAGACAGGGTCTCACTATGTAGTGAGACTGACCTGGAACTCACTATGTAGCTCAGTCTGGTTTCGAACTCACAGCGATCCTCCTGCCTCAGCCTCCCAAGTGCTGGGATTACAGGCGTGCACCCCCATGCCCGGCCTTAAATTTTTTTTTTCTTTTAATGCCGAGGATCGAACTCTGGCCCTTACGCTTGCAAGGCAGGCAGCAAAACCACTGAGCCAAATCCCCAGCTCCATGTTTTTTTTTTCTTTTCTTTTCTTTTTTTTTTGTT